CTTAATGTCCAAAAAGACGAGCGCCAGAGCGAAAAAGAGCAAGCCGAACGAGGGGGGAAGGGCCGCGCGGATCCCGCGGGCGGCCGGGGGGTAAGTCGGAGGGTAGGCGCTGCCGCTTAATGACCACCCTGTACATTCGTATCTTTCGCGGACGTGTTCCTCTCTTTTCCTTGTCCCTTTTCCCCCGCTGCTCCCATCGCCCCTGATACTCGACCCTCTTTCTTCCGCCCCTCCCGTTTCCCTCTTTCGCCCCGTCCTCCGACATTCGTGCGGTTCCGGCGGCGGGTGCCGTTGGGACCATTATCTGTAATTGCTTTCCTTAATTCGATGCTCGTTCCGCTGCGTGGCGAATGGAAAAAAATTCCTCCGACGCAACACCGGGGAAAGGGGTTAACTAGCGGCCTTGGGCAAAAAAGGAGCACGAGCGGCGCTCCAGTCCCGTGGGGTCGGCCCGCGGATCGGATAAAATTCCTGCCCGCGGAACCGCGTCCATCGGCGTCCGCGATCGTTCATCCCTCAAAACGGTCGGCCCAACGAAATATTCGCGCCGGAAGACTCGAGATCGCCGCCGCCGGATAGGGGAAAGGAGACGTATTTAAATGCTGCGAGTTTCCAGCTAATGTCCTAATTACGCGCTAATCGACTTTCGGCCCGTTCATTAGGGGGCCGGTCGTTTCGCCGATCGACTCCCAACTAGGGGAGTTTTAATGGTAAGTAGCCGTGACTCTGCCCCTCTCGGCGCAACGACGAATCGAAAGATAATCAAATGCGGTCTGTGGGATGGATAGGTGGATGGCGAATGCGAGAGGGAGGAAGAGACCGAGACAGAGAGAGGGGGAGAGAGAGGGACAGCTGAGGGGTGGGGGTAAGTAATGGTCGTTTGTTCTTGAACGTCGAGAAGTTGATGTACGAGGAGTCGTGGCGGCTGGGAGCTCGCGCGAGGCGAGGCTAGGCGAAGCCAGGCGAGGCTAGACGAAGCCAGGCGAACCTAGGCGAACCTAGGCTCGAGGCGAGGCCGGTGTACGCGCGCGTTCCACGCTCGCTCGCAACCCCCGCTCGCAAATTGATAGACGCCGCCACGACCGTAAATCACTTTACTGACAATTGATTTGGTGCCCTCCGTTTTACCTCGTTGTAAACTCCACGCCAGCCTGATATTTACGATCGCGCGTGTACACACGACGTCACCTAGTGACACACTACCCGTTACCAACGACAAATCGTTTACATTTTTACACTGTGCCGTTTGCCACTTTTCTACGCTGCACGGCCCCCCCGGCGTTCTCTCGGTTCGTTAGCTTCCTTCTCCATAAATCCCGTATTATGCTCCTACGGTGTTCTTCGCAGGCCCCTCCGGTGATGGATTCGGATCGGAACGAGTACGGATGTGCCGCGGACGGAAGTTTCGTTTTGCAGTCGATGTATGCAGCTTGTTACAACTGCAGAGTGTTTATCACGGCACTCCGCGTCCCCTGGACGTTCAACCTCGAGCTTGCGTCTGACGTGCATGGATACGTGCCACCCCGCAGAGTGTAATGTAGTTTTTATTCTAGTCCGAAGAATCGGAACGCGGAGAAGCAAATGGTACTTCGAACGGTTGCAGTTGGAATTCTCAGTCGATCCGCGTCTTATAATTTAGCGACACTACTCTCGTTAGATACCGTATACCCGAGGCATCTACGTTTAGAGTACTCAATCCCTCTACGGACGTTCCAACTATAGACGATCTTCCAACGCCTATCAACCAGCGCGTACTGCAGACGAGCTATAAATAATGGAATGATCATTAACCATCGATCAGGCAGTCACCGACCCATGAGTCCGATCCTATTCGATTACTCCTTTCGATCGGCGAGTGTCTCAAAGGCTACGACTCGCCGATCCCGGGGTCCCCTAAAATTTCCACGGACCCGGCCGCGACAATGTCGGTACACCGTTCATTGCACCGGTGTTCCTCGAGTACAGGGCAGCCGCGCGACCTAAGTAGCGTGACGTACACAGACTCGTAATGGGCGTGGTGCATTCGTCTCGGTGTGTTGTCTCGGGGGTGGCGATCCGTCTTGCTTACCAGCCCCGTCGCTGACACCACCCACCCGGGAGGAACAGCCACCATCCGCTTCGAGAGCCGGGAACTGGGAACCCGCAGGAAACCCGGCTACGACCTTGCCGGCCGCACCGCCGCCGGCTCTATCCCCGAACCTTTGTTAATCTCTCGGCAATCGGTGCCGGTCACTGTATCGATCAACGGTCAGCCTAACGCGGACGGTCCCGTTTCTCCTTGAACGCGTTTCTCGTTCGATTAAACTCACGCGTGACACGTGATTTTTCATTCTGTCGCTTAGCCTCCCGCCCCGGCCGCTCGCCGACGCGTCCCCCGCCGTCGCGGGTTTTTTCAGCTGGAATCCGCCCCGCGGGGAACGATCCCTCTCCTATCGGTGTCTCGAGAACACGGAGGACCGTGCGAACGGGGACTACTGGAGGGGCGGGTTGTAAGCGATTACCGTGCTCTATGCGCGACCTGTCGAACCAGTATACCACGCTGCCTCGAGGAACGCGTTGCTTGTTGGTCGGCGTTCAACGATTGTTCTTTGCAAATCGCCACCGGCGACGGTGAATCATTCGATCGTTCTGTAATAGTCGTACCCATCGTATCCGTTAATCAGATGATATTCGTCGTTCCTATTATTTCTATAATCATCGTAATTTACTCTAACACCCGGGATCCCCGTGACTCCGACAGTTTCCACGATTCCTACAGCGATCCGGCTATCGTTAATCTTCGTATCTCGTAAGCCGCGAATCGTATAATTTTTACGATCCTCGTAATTCCTATAATCTCGCAACTCCTATAATATTCGCCGTTTCTATTATTTCCACGATGTTCGTGATTACCGCGACACCTACGGTCCCCCTAACCTCCGCAATTTCCGCGCGTCCTGCAGCGACGATTCAGCAATCGGCAATCTCCATATCTTACGTCCGCGCGTCGGCTTATCGGTCAACAGATGCGCAAGACAAGCCGGACTAGTTGCCGCGTGACAAATGGATCGAACACGACTGCGCGGGAGCAATTACCCGGGATAATAAAAGGCCTCTCCGGGAAAAATGGCTCGCCGGGGAGAATCAACCTGAATGAACGACTCACCGGTGCGTTTCTCGGCGTCCCGATAGGTGACCTCGCTGAGGACGACCCGTTCGCTCCGTCCCTTGGCGTTGACCGCGTAAACGGCTACGTGCACGCCCGCTTCCACGGACGCTTCGAGCCCGGCCAGGGAGAAGCTCGGCTCGTCCGCGTTCGACACGTTGTAGAGGGGCTGGCTGTTCGACAGCGAGTCCACGTCGCCGTGGTACACCTCGAGGATGAATTTCTGGGGGAGACCTCCGTCGTAGCCCGGGGAGCATTTCACCTCGACGCTGCTGTAGGTCTGGTTCTCGAGCGTGCAGTTACGTACCGGCCGCGGTGTTCCTGAAACGAGGAAACGTCGGCCACGGTTAAATGGCGGCGGAGCTTCGCTGGATGTTGAAAATTTCACAAGCCTCTCTGTCGCTCCGCTTATTTTTCTTGGCGGGTCGCCTCGTTAGCCGTCGAGAGATTAAATAGGGACCGTCTCCAGCCCGCCAGTTATGGAATATTAAAAACGTGTTACGATTAACGGGCTCTTTCCCGGAGAACCGCTTTACAAATTGATATCGAAGGAATAGCTCGCGAACGCGTCAGTCGAACTGTTCTACGAATTCTCCAGAGTTTCAGTTTACGGTACTGATTGCATTTATTTACTGTTGTAAAATATGTGTGGGATGAATGGTTCGTTGTGCGGGCGACCTAAATTTTGACTATAGACGAACGATGCGAGTAAGAAGGGCGCAAGGGTAAGAAAGAGCGAATAGGGGTGTGCATTAAAAGCGAGTGGGAATGCGTGCGCGACACACGGTCGATGAGCTTCTATCGAGACGAACTTCGTGCTGAAAAATAAATTATTATTGACAAAATAAATCATTATACTGTCTCGTAGACTATAACGAAATGTAATTTATTCAACGTATCGTGAAAAGTAGTCTACATTCTAAGGTTTATCTGTCAAGATGTCATTAGATCTGCTTAGATTACACGGAACCGATTGCCCGACGTCGCTCCCTCTAAGGTCAAAACACTGCCGAACGAGGTGAACGGCGGCGCACTCGTGGAAATCGGCCGCGGCGGTTCCGAGGGCTCGCGTCCACGCCGGAAAAAGTTGACGTTCCGGAAGTTGCCGAATATTAAAACGACTCGGCGCGTGAAATTGCTTCGTAAAGGATTTCAGTCTTGGCTGGCTCTTTAGAACGTTACGATTGTGAACGGGCGCGGAGAGGCCGGCCGACCAGCTCTCGCTCGCAATATTCCACGGTTACTTTGTGCGAATCCCAACGCTCCGGGCGAGCTTTACGAGCTCCTCCCCGCGTAACACGAGCAAAAGAGCCGCGGCGCGTCTCGCCCGTAACGCTCGACGCGCAAACGATTATCATTCTAGCGTGCGCAGGCCGCCGGACGGAGCCGAGCCGGCGAATCGAATCACCGCGGAATATTATTTCCTCCGTTCCTCGTCTTAACTCGCGGAAAGCCGCGACGCGGCCGGAACCGGAGCCATAAAGGCCACCGAGCATTATGATACGTGTCGCTGACACGAGCCTCGACACCTAACTTCCTCGACATCTTTCGGTTCGCGACCTACGCGAGAATCAGAAGACTCCATGTCCAGAAACTGCGTCATTAACGGAATCGAAATCGACGAAGGTTCAACTGAATCTGGCGTCGATGCATGTTACACAGTTGAACATTTTATTAGTCCTTAACACGTGGAATGCCACGGAATGGCGTTACTGTAATTCACTCAATGAAACGACAATTATATGAAAACATTTCTATGTTGTATACGATGCTACATAATACAGCGACATTCAGCTAGATGAACGTGGAATAATAATGCAATTCAATCGAATGATTTAATACCATATTTTTCCATTCTGTGTATTTTCCTCTGCGAAATCGTGCGGCGTTCAACGTGTTAACGAGCTAAACTAACGAACTAAGGCAAAATAGAGAATTGCAGTTTTGATGCTGCCATGGCCTGGAGTGTTACATTCGTTTCTGGCTTTCGGGTGAGAGCCGTGTCCACTAGGAATTTCTTCCCAACGATTCGCCAGCATTGCAGCTTCATCAGGAGGCTAAGGCACACTGATACCGACGTGCCAAGGAAGAGTCTCTAAATACGTACCCTGTTCATGTTCCGGATCAATGGTCACCAGTTATTTTAATCGGTCAGCTGAACAATTCAAAAACGGGAGGAGGGAGCGCCAATTGGGATTCAGTTGATATCCTGTGTCCCTGTTGATGTCAGGGTGCTTCAGGATTTCAATAGATTCCCTATACTTGCGTGGGAAGTAGTCCTTGCAAGATCTTCGTCTCTTCGAACTTGATCGTTAACCGATGTTCCGTCAGAACAAATTCCTAGCGGCTCTCACCCGAAAGCCAGAGATGAATGTAAAATGAACTACACGTGTATTCGAAGATCACGACGTATCTCGTCAAACGCGGCGAACAGGTTAAGCTGGATGTCCATTCGAAAACCGTCGCGAATCGCCCTCAAGATCATTCGCGGATGTACATCGAGTCGAGAGCTTCCATCCCGGAGCACCGTGAAGCTCACGATCGCTCCCAGTGTACCAGCGGATCGCGGTAAACGCTCCCGAGAGGATCTCGCGACAGTCTCGCCCCTGTCCGTCGCTCGCGAATTCGAAACGCGTCCGCGCCATAGAAACCCTGCCGGTCGTTCGCGATATCCTCCGCGATCGTCGTTATCGCGGGACGGTCCTCGTTTGTCGGCCTTTGTCCGGTAATATTTTCCGGATACTTTGTAACCCTCGAAGGCTCGCGCGCTCCACAGGTTGGCCTCGCTAGAGGAACACGAGGGTGAGGGAGCAACGGAAGGAAAGAGGGAAAGAGGAAGCGAGAGTGTGTGTGTGAGAGAGAGAGAGAGAGAGGAGACAGGCTCTCTGGAAATCAAGCTCCGCCTGGGCCCCCGGTGAAAAATGTTTGCGCGTCTACGAGTGGCAAGGATTTAGTGTACCGGGATAGTAATGGTCACAGAGATGTGTCCCGCTGTTTTTCTCCGTTCCGTTCTCGCTCCGTCCGCGTCCGTTCCATCGCGTTCCATTTCGTCCCGTCTGCGTCGCGCTCCCTTTCTCCGGTCTCCGGCTGCGCTGATGCAGTTTGCGTCCTATACGAAATTCTTTTTCCCTTCCGGCAGTCAAAGCGCACCGTTGTAGCCGTGATTCGACGCGGCGCGCCGGTCCTACGCGCCTCCCGACTACATCGCTACGGTATTTTTCTTCCCGTTCCCACTTTTTTTCTTCCCTCGTCCGACTCCGCCGCCGCCGTCGCCTCCCCCCCTCCTTCCCCCTCCCCTCGCTCGCTCGCGCGTTCGAAATAAAATTTCCTTTGCCTTAAACAGACAGCGAAGCTATCCCGCGACTCTCCCGGAGCGGCGAGGAGAAAATAAATATTGTTCGCCTTTCCCGTCGGCGAGGAAAGCGAATCCTTCGCCTTTATTCCACGCCGCGCGTCCGCTCTCTCCTCTGTGCTCGCCTCCTTCGCCTGCGAATCTACTTATGCATCGCCTTTTGCCGGGGCAACCTCTCGGAGGAGGTGCGCGCGTTAATCGCGTGCTACGAACGCCCGCTGCATCCCCCTGGCTTCGAACCTTTTGATTGTTTTAAAAGGTCTATTGAACTTTCACGGGGTTCCGTTCGAAGCACCAGGGAAATTAGACGCTGCTATTCGGGGGGGAATGTTTGACGTACCGGGAATGATTTCCGATTTTCACTGAGCTACTGTTCAGCGACTGTTCCGAGGGCCATAGAAGAGAAAGGGACTCATGGAGACCGGGCCCAAGGGTTGCTGGACTTTTCTGACGGATGCGTAAGCGAGGATGAGTGCGTGCCGGTGAGAGTGGGCTGTGTTTGAGAATTTGTTGGAAGTGTGAGTAAGAAGAATGCTTGTGGGGGAGAGAATGGTTTTTAACCCTTAGCACTCCAGATGGTTTCGTAATCTATCAGCAACTGCAACTAATTTTCGTAGTATCTCTAGCGAAAATGAAACATGCGGTGACATTCCTTCAATCTTTTGTTTTCCTTCTCAGTACAAAATTTGGATGTATGGAAAGTCTAATAATTTTAGGGTAGTTTCTTTAAGATTCATTAAAATATTTAATATTATAACTGGTGTAATATTGGAGCCTACAGAGTTCAAAGGGTTAAGTGCGGATGGCGAGAGATTTTGAGACTGCGAGCTGTATCGTTCCTATTTATTTGCATTTTATTCAATTATCTACGTTTGTTGAAAATAAAACATATTCAAACACCATTGATACCGCAGTACGTATAAAGTTAATACAGCGTACATAGGAGTAGGTTCAAGCCAAATATGTGTACATGTTTGCCAGTCATAGTTCCGATATTTCATCGGATATTGAAAGTAGCGAAGTGCATTATAACGCGCGGCCGATGCGAAGGGGTGAAAGAAGCGTTGATTCGGTAAACAATTTCCGAATGACCGAAAGCCAGCGTCAGAGTTGCTTCGCGCGTACCCTTCACTGAATCAACCGAAGTACCGATTAGTTATCCAACAGTTTCATCCCCTTCCCGCTCTCTCCACTCGGCCACTAATTTATTTTCATCCGTGTGTAGAACGCACGGTGGTCCGCGTCTGCGCGGCTCGCGCCGCCCCGCTTCTCCCCGGTTTCGTCCGATTGAAAATTCTATTCCGGATAAACTAGCCTCCTTCCCTCCAACTTGTTCCGCGGAACCGGTTGTTTCGCGAACATTTCGTTTTCACGGTTCAAAGGCACGTCCAACCGTCCGCGGTGCGTTCCTTAATTAACATCGGCTGTAACGATGTTTCCGCGTCCGCGATTCTTCCATTTAATTTCGATATATCGCGCTCGGCGTTCTCCAAAATCTCCCGGGGAGAATCGACTTTTTCGACTCCGCGGGATGAAAGGGTTGGAAACGGGGGGTAGGCGACAGAGAGAAACGGGACGGAGCGGGCGGACGGACGAACAATGCCCGAGCCACCGGTAAATAACCGGCTTAACTTTCTTTGGGCCGCGTTTTGCCGCGATGCGATCCGACTACGAGCACGCTCTCCACGGCGACGCGGCGTCCAATACCAATAACGACAGATTCGAAAATAATTTTGTCCCGTCGAGAGTCGGTTCACGGGTCACCGCGGACGAAAGGGGCGCGCCGAAGGTTCGCTTACGACGACGTCGACCATCGAGGAACGACCGACGGAATATTCCTCGATTTTACGCGAACCGTCGATTCTCGAAACCTCGCGCTCGCGCCGCTCGCAACTTTCGCGGGAATTTTATTCAGAAGAAAAAGGAAACACACGGGAGCGGGGTAAATAAATTGGCGAACGACGCTTCGTACCGCTTCCTCGCGGGTCACCTGCGAATCGTTTCTCTATTTTTTAAATGAAAATACTCGAGCACCGTTCGACAATTTTTCCGTTCCCTTCCTCGGAAATAAAATTCCGAAAATTCCTGATACAATTTCAGCAATTTCTGCTATTTTCTCTTTTATTAAAATACAATTCCCGGTATTTCAGCAGAACGAAACAATGAAGCGACGTATATCGACTTGTAACCTGAATCTAGTAAGTAGTAAACAGCGGTACAAAGGGAAAGAGAATTTAGAAAAGAACGAACTGCAGTTTGAACGTCAACTTGGAATCGATAATACGAGGATGTAACGAGAAGTAAAGTACCGCGCGGCGAGCGCCTGCAGCGGGCACTGAGCTTAGAAGAAATTAGATTTAAAAATAGACTGGAATCGACTCCGGGAAACCGGACGGGAAATAAGCGAGGGGGGCGGGGAGCGGAATAAGGTTCTTTCGTTCGGAGGTTCGTTTTCGAGAAAATCGTATTTGAAAATTCGCCAAGTTCGCGTGCCGTTGCGCGGGAACCGGCTGACGCCTGTCCGTTTCACGACCGACCGTTTCCACTTGTAGTGATTACTGATGCACTTGTTCCGCCGGCGAATCTTCAAACTCCATTTTCTGGAGAACGAGGATTTAAGCGCGCGAATTTTATCATCCTCCGTTTCGACTTATTTAAGCACCCGGAATAATTTCCCGGCGGCCGTCACGCGGCGGTTCCGAGAAAAATCGATGTCGCGGGCTCGCGCGGCGCACCGGCGTGATATATAAACTGTATATAATGAATTTCATCGCATAATAAACTAACAATGAAATTATTGCGCCGACGGACGGCAACAAACATTCCCCTGTTGGTTTCACAAGGAAATACAAGCGAAGTGTTCGTTCAGCGGGGGAAAAAAACGAGTGCCGAACGGAGAACGGACACATGATTACGGATTCATAAAATTCCGTTTTCCCCAAATAAATTTAAATCAATGTGAAATATGTGTTGCGAACGAAATGTTTCGTTGGGCAGCATCTGTAACATTCATTTCGAAGATCGCGCGATGTTTTTTCTGTCCTCGTCGGCGGGCGGACGAAAAAGGCAAAAAAGGACAATGCATCGGCGCGCCCGGTAGCGGAAAATAATTTTCGCCGGTGTGCTCGCGCGTTAACGCGTTCGTCCATGGGAAATGGGTTAATGGACACGCGAAAAATATTAATATCGCCACTGGAAAGCATCCAAACTCCGGCTAATGGATCAGCGTAGATAAGATTAGCCGGGACGCGTCCCCGCGGCCAATTTGTCGTTCATTAATACGCTGTTCGCCATACTGGTAGCCATTCGGTGACCACCGAATTGCTCGAAAACAATTGCGACGAGACGACTGATGTTGAATGATCGCGTTTCGTTGCGCAACAGATTCAACGATAATTTTCCTTCAAATCTGCGATATGAAATACTAGTAATCTAATATTATTTCTCCTTGTTCTCAAAGAATAAGTGACGTATAGAGTGAATCTGTGATTTTTCGACTACCCTTTTGTGAAGTTCTAAGTCTATTCAAATGAAGCTCAGACAGTAATTACTAATACTATTTATCCTTGTTATTTATTATAGAGCAAGTGATATATACGGTAGATCTGTGATGATCGCGCTACAAATTTCTAAAGTCCCAAGTCTATTCAAGTTAAACCTATAATTCAATTACCAGCTTCCCAATAATTACACGATAACAATTCATTCGAAAACATCAGTATCGGCTGATTTTAATCGGTAGCCGAACTCTCTGGGAAAACTCGCAAGTAACATCGAACGCGTGAACGTATCATTCAATCGAAGGTCGGAAAAGCACCGGAAAACGCTGGAAATCGCGGGACGAGAGGAATAAACGTGACGCGTAGGCTGCCGCGAGCCACAAAGGAGGGAAACGCGCGTCGAAGCGGCCGCGTAGGTGCACACAACACCGCCGCGACGTGTATTCGTCAACGTCAATACGCTTTCGGCGGGTCGCCGCGTCAACGTCATTGTCGATCATAGCGCATGGCGGTGAAAAAAGGAAGCGGTCGGTCCGCGTGTCCCGTAAAATCCGCTCGGGGATTAATGTCGGTTTACCGCGCGATGATTGGTCGCGCGGCATTGTGCGCGGCCGCGATAATTCCCGCATATCTGTCAGGATTTTGACCGTTCGTTTCGTGCGCTCGGACGAAAAAACCAGAGAGAGAGAGAGAGAGAGAGAGAGAGAGAGGTAAAGGGTCCTTCGGATAATTGGTCGGTGCTTGAGGAACAATGCGAGCTGGCCGCGTTTTCCGCGCGGCGGACAAAGAACCAGTGGAACGAGCTGCAACGAGAAAACAGCCGGCGAAACGCGCGCTGCGACACGCCGCGCGTTATTTTCGATCGCGGAATAGGTATCGCGGTTAATCTGTTTGGAGTTTCGGTAATTAACGGGATATTAATTAACTCGCTTTGCCCGTGCAGCCGGCGATACTGTCCTGAAACGGAAAATAAACACGTTTGTCCGACGTTTGCCAGCGCGGTTACCGCGGCGCGATTTTTCGCCAATTTATCGACGATCCGGCGCGTCACGCTCGTCGCATAGCGCGCTCCGTTGTTACCCGGAGCAGGACGGTGCGCGCGGAACGAGCGTATCGCGGACGGAGTCTGCGAGAGGGGGATTCTATGCGCCGAAGACGCTCGCGGCGCGGCAACGACGGGTTTGATTAAAGATCGCTTTCCAACTAATTGGAAGGATCTTTAGAGTCGGGACAATCTCGGTCTCGAAAGGGTAAATAATTGAGGCGTTAATAGTCTCGGTGGCTTGGCTCGTTCTCGAGGGTGCCAGGAATTCGACGGTTCCTGAATAATTTACGCACGAAGGACTTTCCTGCCGGAGCGGACTCGCCGCCGGCATCTATTCACCCTTCCACCATCGATCCGGTTAGCTAGCACGCGCTCGCTGTTTCGAAAGCGAAGGAGAACCGAGTCGGGAATGCAGAGTGTTTGCGCGTGACTGTTCCTTAGTACCTTTTACGCTAACCAGGACGGCGATAACGAAAGTTGCTTCGCGTTGCCTATACGTGCTAACCGCGCCGCGAGTTAGGTGTACAAATTTTCTGATATCACTCAGCTTAGAAAATATTCCTGAGACCCGACATAGTCCCTGGAAACCGAGTTGAACGCGTTAAACCGAACAACGTCGTCGCGTAGAGACGATTATCGCGGGAAAATAAAGCACAGGCGTTAATGAGCTCTCAAAAGGTGCGCGCCAGAGAGGGAGCGAGACGAACGCAGTTTCGTCGGGCGTGAACGGCCGGCGATCGAACGCGGAAACGTTTTTCCGTGTCGTCGCGCGGGTGATTCCCGCAGATGTGTCCCGTCGCGAAACAACCCCCGCATTTTCCGACCGGTTGACCCGGGGGCCGGGCTCCTCGGTCTCTTTGGCCGCGGAAGTGTCGTGTTTGCGCGGGGTTTGCGCGCCGCGGCGGTACCGGTCATAGTTTCGCCGCGTAAACGGGCTGGTTCCCGGCCCCAGAACGGATTTTAACTCGATTTCCCGACCGCCCGGCGACTCGAGGCGGCTCTCTCGCCCGAGCCGCGTCCGGTGCGGGCCCCGGGTGTAACGTTTACCCTCGATCCCGGTAAATACTTACCGGCGGCTACCAGCTGGAAGAGACACGGCCTCGCCTGTGTACCGACAAAATTGTCCGCCCAGCAGGACAGAGTGCCGTAATCCAGGTCGGTGGCCGGCGTGTACCTCAGCACGCTCACGCCGCTCGACTTCTCCATCGAGAACCTGCCCGGCGCGACCTCCAGCATCTCCCCGCTGTTGTTGAATTTCCATCGGAAATGGTGCGCCGGCGGATCGGCCTCGACGCGGCAGGCGATGTCCAGGGACTCGCCCCTCGACGCTCCCACCACGATGATGCGGTCCTCCTTGCAGACCGGCGCGACTGGAAATTCAGTGCTCGAGTTAATTCAAGGCGACTCGGTTGGTACGAGTTACTTCCTTGGTGCAAGCTGTAACGATCGATCGATTGGGGAATGTCATGCAGTTATTATTATAGTGGTATTATAGATAGCGAAAGAGTGGATCTCGAGTAATCGAGAGCTAGGAATAAATATATGTATTTAATAAAATATGGAAACAACACGTAAAGAGTACAATTTGCGAATCGGATTCGATCGAATTACGCAAAGTACTCTTCGATTCGATGTGTGATCGAGTAGTCAGTCATTAACAACTTGCGCTGGAAATTCTGACTGGAAATTCAGTGCTCGAGTTAATTCAAGGCGACTCGGTTGGTCCGAGTTATTTCCTGGGTGCAAGCTGAGTAAAGCTAGTAACGATCGATCGATTGGGGAATGTCATACAGTTATTATTATAGTGATATTATAGATAGTGAAAGAGTGGATCTCGAGTAATCGAGAACTAGGAATAAATATTCTCGACTGTTCGGAATGTTACGCGATTCTTTCTATTAATCGTTCAATTTTAATAAACCATATTCTCTATAATTGTTCGAACGCGAGAGTCGTTACAATTCCCAGCACAGGCACATTCCACACAATTATAGATCACAAGGAAAGTTCCTGCATAGATTTCGAAATCAATTTCCCTCGCGTCAAGCTCAATTTCGAGAAGAACGTTAAAATTCCGTTTCATTAGGAAAATTGGCTTGATTACATGACCGATCGTCGCGCGAGAAAGTCTGAATAATAGATGGGCAATTCCCTCGTCAACGTGCTTGACGTAAGTCAACACTTTGTCCCCGTCAAAGCTTCCGCGTGCCGTTTCAAGCTTGCCGCGTATCAAACCAAAGCGCTGAAATACTGATCCCGTTTTTCCCGTGATTGTTCATTCGATCCCCATCGCACACTCGCGCGTGCACCTTGTCGAGCGGGGGATTCTCGATCGGCGGCCGCGTGCGCGATTTTCGTTCGAAGTTTAATTTACGTGGCCGGTCCGCGCGGACGATCCCTCGGATACTCGGACTCGAGTGAACCGCGGGGGAAGGGCGAGACGAGGTTCGATGGTGCTTCGACTACAATGCGAGAACTCGAGCCTCCTATCCTATGCTTCACGGTGAACGATGGTCGAGGGCCGGGGACGTTTATTCGCTCGATCGTCGTCTCGAAAAATGTCGAGGCACGTCTCGCAGTTTTGTCACGTGGCCGGGGAGGGGGTGGCGGCCGGATCTTTGCCCGGGATGAAATCGTCTCGACGCGGAAAGATTTTCCTCGTTTCTTTACATACGGGCCGACATAAAAAAGATTCGGAAATTCTGGAGTGGACAGGTACTCGTCGAACGACGCGGAATAGACGAACATAGGCGGAGCGATAGATTTTTCCGAAGTGAATGTAAAAAAATCTAAAGTGTGCTGTGCATTCGAGAAAATCTTTGCGTAAACAATTTTTTGTCGCGGTCGAAATCACCGATTCTCTCGGTGAGTGATTATAATTATGGTAATCGCGTCGTGACACGAGTTCGGAAGGTAAAGAAGGTTATCCGGATTCTATCGCGTTTCAATCCACTCGTTCGTAATATTCTTTTTAGGCGATAACGCGAACGTTACCTTCGTTAGAACTCTTTCAGCGCGTTACGTACCGTTTACTCTAGAAATTATGAGTCCTTTCTTTATCATCGTTACATTTCCACTCGTCGATCAGCCCTCGTCCGCGCTATCTGCCCCCGCATTCGTCCGCCTTTTCACTTTGCGGTGGGAGAGAGATAAACAGACGAACCGTATCTTATCGGGCCGAGAAAGCATTTCCCCGGAAAGGTCCGAAGAGTAGAGGGAGATATCGCGGAGCAACGATATTCGGCTTTGATATTTAGGTTCGATGATCGGGCAGGTAATTTCGCGAAGTAGAATAAGTCGGCTATTGGTCGGGCAACGAGACGCGCTCCCCTGAAACGCGACAGATACTCGATAACCGTTGTCAATTATGATTCTTCGTTTCGTTCCTCGCGTCCCCGTCAGGCAAACAGATCGACGAGTAATTTCTGTTGATTAATAAGTAACCCGGAACGGCACGGATGGCATAACGAGCATTGTACAGTACGAGCCGCAGCCATAACGCGCATGATTCGAGTTTCCTTTGTCCGGCGGTCGGCTTTGTACGGAGCCACGTGGTCGCACATTAAATTTGGTCCCGCTAAATATTATACTGTATTAAACACACATTTATCCAGCATAAAATCGCTCGCGTCTAATCCGCTTTCGGGGGAGCTACACGTTCCCTAAGCCCCCGGAAGCGGATGATTTTCATTCCGACAGGAATCCGGCCGGCGGCACAAATGAATAATAATAATAATAAGAAGAGCAACAGAGAGAAGGAGATTTCGCCGGGCAAAGAAACCAGAGGAACTCGTGCGTCCGCGAAGACGGATCCGTGCTTCGAAAGCGAAGCAAGTAATCGACCCTTTGACGAGCGGCTACGCGAGTCCGGGCAATCTTCGAGTATAATTTGGTCCGGGGACGACCGGCGCGCCGCGCGAAGGGTGGCACGGGAAATGGCGACGAACGGGGATCGTTGGTCGGTTCGTTTATCAACGTTCCCATTCGCTTTTATTCGTTTCGAGGAGTTCTCGCAGCCGACGGGAGTAGCGGCGTTACGATGGAAATTGCGCAAAATGAAAGCTACAGGCGGCGGCGGCGGCGGCTGCGGCGGCGGTCAGCTTATTGCCCCGCTTTTTTTCCACTCCCCGTTCGCGCGGCGACAAACGCACCGCTTGTTTGCTATTCCTTTTATTTAGTTACCGCGCGCAATTCGGTAAATAGCAGTTGAAGTCGGGGGCTTCGAGTACAAAAGCGTCATCGAGTGGCGGATACGGTTCTTTCCCCGTTTCGACAGCTTTTGTCCGATTCGATTCGCCGATGTGAAAACCGTTTCGCGCGGACCGACGCGACGCGACGGACGGGACGCGACGCGGCGCAGAACAGAACGAATTAATTCGCGCTCGTGTTCCGTCCGTCGCGCAAATAAATATCAAGAGAGCTCGCAAATAGCCGCGGGGAAAAAAGAGTCGCCGCGCCGGCGGGGCCGCGGACGCGCCTTTAACCAGACCGAGTCCCGGCCGATCGAACGAGGAAAAGCCGCGCGATTTTGTTGCGCAATTAACGGCCCGCGACCGTCATTAGTCGGCCGCGTCTCTGTAATTCGAAATTAACGATCGCAATCGTCGAACGCCGCGCCGGCCGGGCTCGCGCTTTTAAATCACCGGTATGAAATTTAATTATCAGCCGCGGCGGAGAGCGCGTCGCGGCGAGACGAGTCGCGACGCGGGATTGATAAAGCCCGTCCGTCGCACCCTCTGATATCCGGCGGCTCCGCGGCCGGAATTTTTTTACCGTGCGCTCGATAATTGCCATCGACGGTGTAAATTCCGCTTTGTAACGCGCGTTCCGTCCGGCGGGGAAAAAGCCTACCTGCCCCGTGCGCGAACCGATTTTCCTGCCTGCTTATATTTCAAACCCCGGACGTTCCTCGTTCCGTGACAGAATCGCTCGAAAAACATGCCAATTTTTTAGCGAACGCTAGCGACGCTTCCCGTTTCAGGGGTTTCTCGTTAAAGCTTCGATCGGAATCGATTTAAATCCAGACCGCGAGAAGGGAAAAGCTCGTTTCCCCGGCGGACGTGAATGGCCTAAAGCAAATGTCATTTCCAGACGCGACGCGACGCTGTAATAACCGGGAAACTAAATCCAGACACAGGGCCCGCTCGCCCGCCTCGATTCGAGAACTCCCGCGAGAGATTGCTGCTTATCCCTCGGCTCGTTTCCTCGACCTTTACGAGCCCGTCACCGGTCGCAGTTAAATATCGAGAGGCTCGCGTCCCGGGACTCCGCTGTCGTCTTCCTATCCGTCATACTCGGCGATGATTACGTTCCTCGGTCGGACGGTCAATGACTTTTCCCGTGCCGACGCGTTGTTCCCCGATATGGTAAATCTCTCACTTTTGCCTCACCGTGTTCGACTTTTCTTTCATCGAGGATAATACTGCTTTCTTAACGATTCATTGGAAAATTCAACATTCGGAAATTGGGAAAATTAATGGCTTCTGAAATTATTATACGTATTCGGAAGCTAGAAGGGCTCTCTGACTTAGAAGGAACGAGTAGATCGTTGAATAACTAAAACGACTATGTGTCCTCGCAGTGCTAGTTGTAGCATTAACCCTTTGAACTCTGTAGGCTCCGATATTGCAGCAGTTGTAATATTGAATATCTTACTGAATCAAAGAAACTACCCTAAAATTATTCGATTTTCCACACATCCAAATTTTGTACTCGGAAGGAAAATAAAAGATGGAAGGAACGTTACAGCATTTCTCATTTTCATTAGAGATACTATGAAAATTAGTCGCAGTTGCTGATAGATTACGAAACCATCTGGAGCGGCAAGGGTTAAACGATTGCTATTGTCGTTCGGAACGTCTTCCGCGGTTCGCAGCGTCAATTTCAGAAGGTAACTAATTCTGCCTCAAGCCCGCTTCGAGAAGTGCCGGTATCGACAGGAAAACTTCGGGGCCAGATCATCAAAGAAATTTTACCTTCTACATTCTGGAATTAAATTACCTGGCAACTCGAGAGCCCTCGAAACCCAAGAAAGCGAAAAGTTCAGGGGAACGCAATTAGATACTGATTACAGCTGCCACTTTGATCCCCGATGAACCCGGCTGCAATAGTGTCAAAACGTCGGACCACTTCCACTGAACGCGGCTCTCTCCCTAAATGATTCTCCTCGAATGATCGCGGTGAATCGTGTCGTGAGAAATGATCGGGTCGCGAGGTGAGGGTTAACAACACTGGCTCGCGTAATCGACAACCACCCAGTCTCAACGATAAACGCAGAAACAAGCATCCAAAATCAACCTCTGTGTCGATGAAATTGTTAGAATCACTGTATTACTTCGTCATTGTACTTTTAAGTATGAAATTATATTTTTTTTTGGTGAAACTGAACAAACCAGTTCAACAATCTTACTACCCTATCACTGTAAGAGGTCGTAGGATCCGAATCGCGAAGTCGAAAATCGAAGTAACGACTAATCTCGCGAACACTCACTCACACACACTTCTCGAGAAAAGGAACGGGGACAGTGATTCGCGCAGGATCATCTTTTAAATTCGGGATATTCAATTTGTGTACCGGTCCCGGGGTAGACGGGGGGCCGGGAATCTCTGACGGATCTGAGGACCGCCGCAGTGCGGTCGCCGGTACGCTCGACGTAACCCGGGGAATTGGATATCAAAAATGTAGCTGGAACTAAGTACGCCTGAAATATTCAGGCGAAACGGGATCCTCTCGGAGCAGCCGATTCGGAATAAATACGCGGACCAGGTTACGTCGCGCGGACGGACGCTGGGCCTTCAGGTCCGTCGTCGGTGAATGGGACCGCGCTCATTAACGCGCTCGCTGCCGCGAGCATCTCGGAAGCCTCTTACGTTTATCACACACTTCCCCGTGACACAGATAAACGGTATTAAACACAATTATTATTTATCAACCGTTTCCAGCCGACCGTCGTCGTGAAGTTTACGTCTACGATCCGAAGCCTTAAACAGAATAATAAAATAACAGCAAACGAACGGATGATCGAATTATTCGAATAAAGAGGGAATCTCTGGTTAACCTCTTTTTTAACCCTCCGCACTCCAGCAGTTTTTCATTAGAAACACTCGACATTTTTTAATGAAATACCAACGACATTCTTTCAAACCGACTTAACGAGACGTCGTACATAAATTAAAGAAAGAGGCTGTTTTTTTAATATTTCACATGATGCGTTCATACGAAGTTTAATATTAATTATGAAACTCTAATTTTGCTGTGTCAAATCAATTGGCGACTGAGAGGCGCCTATATGTATCGTTTGGTTTTCACGAGCCTTTTTCCACACCCTAGTAAAATCGTGAAATTCGGCCGATTATCTTAGGCACCTCTTTTTCGCTCGGCACTAGAAGGGTTAATATCGGGGACACCTGTTTCATACATGCATAGAAAGGTTTCCCGAAAGTTTCAAGAATTCACAGAGATCGTTTAAACGTGTTATCTTCCGCTTGATGTCAGCGCGAGTGAAAAGGTCAGTCGTGATTGAAGAATAGTTGTCAGGAGTTGTCGTAAGCGTCGGTTGTCAAATTAAGCTTCGTCATTCGTAGCCGTTGTTTGGCGGTGATAATAAGTTTGTTTTTAGGTATAATCGCGTTTCGGGACGCGCTAAATAATTAGCGACGACGTATTTCGTATCCGTGCCGTATGTCTGGTACGGTTTTATCCGACATCAGTTTCCCAGCAACAATGGTCGTTGATCGGCGGCGGCGAACGTGTTAACGAGCGCAACGGGAAAATCCTCGATTAACTCTGCTCGATTAAAATAAAGCGCGCGCGGGTAGCCGGGTAGAGGCTCTCGTGACGTGTACTCACACTTGACGCGAAAATGAAGGGGCTCGCTCCGCGTTTCGTTCAGGTCGTTCGTCGCTGCGCAGACATACTTGCCGGCGCTGCTCCTCGTCACGCTTTGCAGTACCAGGCTCTGATTCGACCAGATTATCCTCGCCGACGTGTTGTGCGCCAGGATTTGATTCTGAAAGCAGGAAGCGTTCGTTTTGAAAAACAATATAATAATACGACTCCCGGCGCGATTAGCCGCGCGCTTTCCCGCGCTGACATTTAGCATCGTTTAGCCTTACGGGCTTCCGCACACGCCTCCGCTCCGGAATAAACAGAGTGGAACGCCTTCGAGGGCTGCTCGAGCATTTCGTTTCGCGATAAAGCACTTTATCACAGTGATTCATTCAGACTTTTCCTCGGGAAACTCTGAACCAGTGTGTTTGACGAGAAGAAACGCGTTAAGGAACTCTACTTTCCTTTTATCCTTCCGCGACGAAGCACTTTGTTACGATTCATTGATATTTCGACGACAGAATTACTTGACGAATCAAAGTTATTTATTCGATGGTGTCGCGATGTAAGAGAGAATACTAAGAATCAGAAAGACTGCAGAAATTACTGCAGCGATGCGCCTTAGGGTATTCATTCAAGCATAACTGCAGTCATTTTTGCAGTTTCTCTAATAACACAGTTTCTGGATCCTGCACCAATGTGCTTCCTCCTTCTTTTCCATACTCAGTCTCGCGTTTCTGTAAATTGGATTGTACTTCTAACTATTCTTGTCCCGCTGCTGACATACAATAACCATCTCGCGACATTTTCGAACCAAATATAGCAAAAAGAGCAGAAATATAATATGCGTAGATTCGAGGAATTACAGTTACAGCACACCCAAAAATCACTGAAGCAGCCATAAGATCTAAAGCAAATTGCTCCTACAGATGGTGTTCGCTATAATTATCGAACCTGCCCCGAGACTCGTTAAACGAATCAGTGCGTTTGACAGGAAGGAACGCTTTAAGGTTGAGAAACTCCTTTGTAAGAAATTACGGAGTCGCTTTAATTACTTCGATACACTCGAACCGGATGGAACATTTCGCAGTTTCCCTTCAATTTTTCCCGACCGACTCGATCACCGGCTAGAATCGAAATCGCAGTCTCGTCGCCGCGGAACGAATCGGCGATAAACCCGCATTATCGCGTGCTCCCCCGCGTTATCGCTGGCGGACGCGGCTGCTCTTTAAATCTAAATTAACGTTCGAGCCAATATTATTTCCGAAAACAGCGCGACACTCGCGTAAACGAGCCGGCGGCGGTCCGGGCTCTCGAAGGTACAGTTCCCGCGAGTGGCACGGTTTCGCGTTCGCTTCACGTCGCGCGGGTATTAGACGAAACATTGGAGGAATTGTGCGCCGGCGAGAATAAAACTCGGATAGATTCTTTATTATTGCGAGCACGTTACCCGGCGAGCGAGCGAGCGAGCGCTCGATAACTTTTACGATCGAAGATGTCACTGCGCCCTCGCCCCCCGTTGTCTTTATTACAAATTTATCCATTCCGGAGTCGTGCGATAGACCGGCGAGGGTCGCGAGACCGTAAAGACGAGTGCCTGGGCCGAACGCGCGAAATACGAACTCCATCCCCGCGTTCGTCCTCCGCCGCTCGCGTTTTTGCGAGATCCCGTGGTCCATTCGCGGACCGTCGGACAATAAACGTGACATTCTTTATTGCCTCGCTGTTGGATCACGGATAACCGGCAGTTTGGCTTGTTTGCGGCGCATTGAGGGATGACGGAGCTCCTTCGGGCCGTATTTCGTCAGTGTTCGGAGGAATTTCTCTAGTCTCTTCCGTCGGTCTTTATGTGTGACGTATAAATCTTCGACGTTACGCAAGAGAGGCTTTAAGAAGTTTCCGTTGTTACGATATACGGTGGATATATTCGAGGGATACTGTAGAAATCAACCTTCAACGAGATTCTTACGTGTAATTCTTCTTCGTTTCGCTTCAGTTTTTCGTTAGGATATATGTCGAGTGCATTTCGCCTGCATTTAACGATTACACTACATGATTTGATTTTATTGCGCGCAATGAGAGATTTTTCAAGCTAAATTCCACGCTTAACTGGTTGATAGATATGTTTTTAGAAGTAGACGATTCAGCATGTTCGAAGTGTTTAAAAAAGAACGCTTGTGTTCCATTATAATACTAATTGAATGTATAGTATTTAATATATTACAGTTAGTCGTGGTCGAAGCCTTTGCATTGACAGGAGTGCATCGATAAGGTGCAATTCGAAAAACGAGCTGTGAACTTTTGAACGCCACTGTACACGCACACGTGAAACCGGATCGTACAAGTTTTTATCCGAGTTGTATCGTACACGAAACCCCGCAGCAGTTCGAAATGTTTCCAATACCGGCGAGCAAATAGCGAAAATTGAGAAGAACCTGTAAACTGCGTATCAACCGTAATACTGCGGTTATAGAGTCATCGATCGCGGATTGCGGCTCATTTCACCGATAAACTGTAGCCTCGAGAGAAAGAGGGAACCCCCTCCTCTCGGCGAGATACTCTAAAATCGTAGGGAAACTAAGGAAGTTCCGATTCACGGGAACACCGTGCGCTTACTTTCATCCCCGTAATTCGCGTGTTCGCGAGAGATTCGAGGATCGATTCGCGGTCGGTCGGACAATGAGCGGGCGGTATTCTTTATTACCTTAGATCCCTTGACTCCGATACTCCTTTGTGAGGATTGACAACGCTCGAGGAGAGGACGGCTGGGGGCGGGGAGGGGCGGCGAAGGAACGGGACTGACGGCTTATCAGGCCGGATCCACAGTTAAGGACGGCACCGGCGACGGCGCTTAGTTGTTTAATCAGACCGGATGAAAAGAGCGCTAGTTTCGTTATCTTTTGTGCCGTATCTCTTTTGTCCCGGCTAACGAGGAGACAAAACGAATGCGTTTGGTTCAAGAATTCCGGCCTCTCTTGGACAAATTAACGCGACAGCGCGGAGGAGACCCGGGGAAAAAAGCTGACGACGACGCGACGCGACGCGACGCGAGGCGACGCGACGGAAAAGGGACACGCTCGTCTCGGAGTATCTCGAAATATTCCCGAAATATTCCCGAAACATCAGCGCCGCGCGTCTTCGCGCCGCGCCCTACCGAATTCCGAGATATCGCGTTTAATTAGGCCAGCGCCGAGTTCCTCCCGGTATCGTGTTTCGTTCTTGTTTCTTTCGCGCGGCGGAACGAAACGAAGTTGTACGGTTGTCGGGGAATTTCGGTCGGAGCGTGCATGTTGAGGCGCGAGTCTTTCCTCCGTGCAACTTCTTTAATTGTTTTATCGCAGCCAGACGCGCGCGTTGCTGGAAACTTTCGGATCCTCGGGTCAGCTATCAACGGACCGTGTTCGCCACGCGGACGTTCCTTATTGCTTGTTAACGCTGCCTTTACGGAGCCCGTCGATTTTGACGGATATTCAATTCTTTGAACATCATTGGCCGCGCTCTTCCAGTCGACTTTGATGGGTGCAATTATTAGCGTTATAATTCTGTCCTAGATGCAATTTCCGACTTATACGATCGAACGCGTACTCTCCTAGGAGCGATAGAATCGAGCGTAGAACGAATGCTCCTTTCACGTGTACTGTCCCATAATTCTCTATTACCTTCGTCATTTTGCTCGACATGTATTCCGAAAGGCAATTAGCTACTAGCAAACAGCGTAAACAATTCCTCTTACCAATGCCATTAAAAACAGCACATGATGCAACTTGTGAAAAGCTGCCTTACGTCAATAAACAGCGTCGAGGAAAGTATTTCTATAATTCATTTTGTTCCACCAGTTCCTCCGCAAACTGAAAAACGTCACACTCGAATGTGCCGAAGTTAAAGCATCGACCGTGCTTATACCGTTTTTCGGAAAACCCCGCATCCTTGGCAGTTATCGGTTAATCAAGGTCTGGCGCCGGCGAGTGGCAGTTTTTTCTTTAGTCCTAACTGTGCGCCCGTCTTGTAACCGCCCAGTTTTACCAATAGTTTTTCCACCGCTTAACGTCTCTTTACAAGTATAACCATTACTCCGACATACTCTACGCGTGTGTTTTTCATTTCACGTAACCCCTGAACAGAATGAATCCACCGTCGAGTCACATTCGTCACAGGGGCGCAAAGGGTTAATACCTGAACAATCGATCGAACATTTCACACTGGAACGCAATAGAGACAGCACGCAGGCGCGAGTACGCACGAGCATCCCGCAGACGGAAGTTTGACTATCCCGAAGAATTCCGCGAGGGTTCCGTCGAGGGCAGCGTGTTTCAATTAGCAGTAGGATCGTCGTGGTCGGGGGGGATCGTTTCACGGGGAGGGAGTTACAGCCAACAAGTAGATAAAACCGGGACACGGCTGAAGCCGGTAGTCGGTCGAAGACCTTGCCAAATGCAGCCGCGTTCGTTTAATCGGACGAGAGACGTCCCTCGAACTCGTTCTTTGTCTTCCGCCTGCTAGGGAAAAGTTCCCGCGGTCTCCTCCTCCCCGTTCCCCGCTCACCCCCGCGCTCTCGCCGGTTCTCTCTCGTTACGCAAGTTTTTCCTCGTTCCTCAACCATTTCCTCCATTACACCGACAGACTCTCCCTTTTATCCCGCGCCCGCCCCTCGGCCTCGCCGCGACGGAATCCGTTCGCCGAAGATAATTCGAAATCGATTCGGAACGAGGCCATTTGAATACTCGGAGAAGGTGGCACGAAACGACAGACCGGATCAAGATTTCTCCCCCGTTCCACCCCGTCGCCCGCGCTGGAGCGCTTCCTTCCCGGCGGCCGAGTTTTCTTGGTGCTCCGGAACGCTGGGTGTCGGTTTCCACGATTGTTTTTCCATTCCTCCTCTCGAGGATGCTTCAGCTTCTACCGGCTTTCGCTGCTTTCAGTCGTTCCTCGGCTGGAAAGCTTAATTATTTTTACGGGGCGCGGTGTGCTCGGCGGAAGTATTATGACACGAACGTGTGGCCTATCCCGGTATTTTCGAACTGTAATTACTGCTCCCGAAGATCTCCAGGGAAGAACTTGCCGGGATGTAAGTAGTTCTCCGAATCGTAAATAGATCAGTCTAAAATTTGATATTTACACCGCGCGACGCGTTTGAAAGATAATGAACGTACGACACGTTCGAGCCCTTCGAAATCGTAGCAT